AGCAGCAACTATGCAAAAGTAACAGAACAAAAAATGCAGTAACATTTGTTCCATTTTGACTTCTGCATGTAATTCAGTCATGGTTTACTTCATAAACAGTACAAGAAAATTATATATATAACTTAAAACCATTGTGCTATCAAAAGCAATATTTTCATCATTATTTCTTATATTAATCATTGAACAAAATCACAATTGGCACCGGTTGTTGAAAATGTTAAGTATTTACTATAAAAGAAAATATTTTAATAAAATTTTATTTTTGTTGTTGCCATAGTATTTCCTTTTTCATTTACAAAATATTTTTTCAAAGTTTTTCCCCCTCTATTAATTAAATTCAGATTTTATATTTCTTATTTAAGAGAGTGAACAGAAAAACTTTTAAGTGAAAGCTACTATTGTATAGTAGTATGAAAAGAAAAATATTTGTTTAATAAAATTAAACTCACTCCTAAATTTGATCATAGTGAATATATGTCATGTTTGTCTTCTTATATACAAAATATTAAAATACTTCAAAATTTTGCTTAAATATAAATAAATGGAAATTCCATTACCTGTACATCATATTTTGTAATAAATTAATTAACCTATAATCTAATACGTTTATAGGTTAAATAAATTAACCTATAAACGTATTAGAAAAAAATCTGGCAATATTTAATTATACATTTAACAATAAATTGCTAATTAGGCTAATTTGTATAAAGAATATACCAGTGGCGTGCCATGACATTTGATGATAGGGAAGCTGTGTTTCTGTAAGAAGCCAACTTCCAGGGGCAATCAGTCAATTGCGCGTCAGTGATGGTCTAGGGTCCATTCGTATCGTTTATTCGATAAGCCAGTAAAAACTATAGACTTCTCTAAATGCATTTTTAATATCACAATTACATTCCGAATCGCTTGCCACGATATAAGGGCTACAATTAAAAATAAAATAATAAAAACTTACTCGGTGAAATAAAATGTGTGGTGGATGTACCGGTACATACCTGGTACAAAATATTCTTCAATTGTATGAATATACTTTTAAAGAAAATTATAATTAAA